ATCTAAGCCTGAGAAGAAAAGCTTAGTGTAATCTGTGCACAGGCTCTGGGTTGTAAATCTACTTTTGCCCTTGTGTGGCCTTAGACAAGTAACTCAAACCTTATGTGCCTCAGTTCTTTCTTCTGTAAAATGGGGCTAATAAGAGCAGTCTACTTCATTACGTTGTCAGATGTACCCGGACTTAGTAGCTACTTGATCAATAACGTTATAGTCAGTAGAATCATCGTCATCATTGTCGTTATCCTCTGCATTGTTTTTGAAAACCATTGTCCTGATATTTTGCACCTTAAATTAATCTTGCTTCTTCTAGATATTCCTATAAATGGACTCATGGAGTAAGTTGTTATGTCCAGTACTTTCTGTTCTACATAATGTTTCTGAGTTTTATCCCTATTGTTGAATGTATTCGTTTCCTAGGGCCACTGTAGCAAAGTACCACAAACTGGGTGGCTTAAAACAACAGAAATTTATTCTCTCACAGTTCTAGAGTTTAGAAGCCCAAAACTGTGATGTCAACAGGGCCACGCACCCTCTGTATCCTTCCTTGCCTCCTCCTAGCAATCCTTGGTATTCCTTGGTGTGATGGTTAAGGTTATAGGTCAACGTGGTTGGGCCATGATTCTCAGTGGTTTGGCAGATATTATGTAATCATCCTCCATTTTGTGATCTAATGTGAGCAGCCAATCAGTTGAAAGGGGAGTTTCCTTGGGGGTGTGCCTGCATCTAATATATATGGATGATCTGGCAAAACTCTCTCTGGATCCTGCATCCAACTCACCACCCTCTGTGCTCCAGTTCTTGGGACATGAGCCAGCAGCCTACCGCCTGACCTGCCAATTTTGGATTCATCAGTCCCTGCAACCATGTGAGTCAGGAGAAGCCTCCAACCTGACACCTGACCCATGGATTTGGAACTTACCAGCTTCCACAATTGTGTGAGCCATTTCTTTAAAATAAATCTCTGTCTCTATGTATTTATATATATGCTTCACTAGTTTTGCTCTTCTAGAGAACCAAGCCTAAGACATGGTAGTGAGAGTGGGGTCTAGAGGAACAAAATCATAAGGATGGGTTTTCTGAATTGGTTCTCAAGACTAGCTAGTCTTAAAGGCACTGATGACTTTGCCTTCAGTAGTAAGAGGGCACCACTAATCCATGGCATGAGGTGGCAGCAGAAATATGCAAAATATCACCATCACTGGATCAAATATTTATGAGAGACAAGGTTCTGGCTAAC